ATACATTTGTGCACATTTGTGCTTTTTCTCTTCAGAATCTGCCCAAAGGTGCAGGAAATGTGGGCTCTCTCAATCTTTCCTACATCTCCAAGGTTAGTCCTCGCTCTTCCACACACACTGTTTCACCTGCACTCTCTGTGTGTGCAAACGTGCTAAATTGTAAAATCCGTTGTTATTTTGGTGTGTGATTTCTCTTGTTACCAGCTGTAGACTGAACAGAACATCTGCTGGATTATCGCCTCTTCCTTTTCATGACTCTATCCTAAAGTCTGTCGAATTCCTGTGGCTTCAGCCGGATTTTAAACTCAAAAAAATTTAATGTTATATCACAACAACCAAATAAATTCAGAAATTCATTTGAAAATCACACAGTAAATAGATGCTTCAGAACAGGAAGAAACCTCCAGAGGAACAGGGCTCGGGGAGGGGCGGCCATCTGCCACGACCAGTTGGGGGTGAGGTGAGGGAGACAGGACAGACGATACTCTGTGGAAGAGAGCCAGCGATTAATAATAAATTGGACTTTTCTAATTTTAGAGATATTGCACAAATGCAAGAAAGCAAGCCTACAGTTTTTTTTTTAATATGTGCATTGAAGGACAACACCAAGATTCCTCACAGTGTTACCGGAGGCCGAGGTAATGCCATCCAGAGTTAGCATCTGTTTAGATACCTTATTATTATATGGATTTTGAAGCAGGAAGTTAAACCTTATTCTAAGATGGGTATAGAAGTGAAAATGTATGCTGTGCCGTGTAATAATACTGCTGAAGGGAAGCATGTATAATGTAAACAGAAGTGGTCCTAGCACTGAACCCTGTGGAACTCCATAATTAACCTCAGTGTGTGAACTCTTCATTTACATGTACAAACTGGAGTCTGATAGCTAAGATTCAGACCACTGCTGTGAGTGTAGCATCTTTATAGTATGATATGTCGTTTTCCTGAGTTTTTCCCAAATAGCAGTGAAAGTGTTGGCCAGTCCGTGAGTTGTTTGGTACCGGGCCGCGAGAGTTGAGGCTCAGGTGTGAAATGTATAGTTTT